GCTCTTGCAGAGGTCCTGAATTCAATTCCCAGTAACGACATGGTGGCTCACAACCATCTGTAATGTGTCCTTCTGGCCTGCAGTATACATGCAGGCAGAATACGGTATACATAATTAATAAATAAATCTGAAGAAGAAGAAGGAGAAGAAGAAGAAGAAGAAGAAGAAGAAGAAGAAGAAGAAGAAGAAGAAGAAGAAGAAGAAGAAGAAGAAGAAGAAGAAGAAGAAGAAGAAGAAGAAGAAGAAGAAGAAGTTGTTGTTTATATCCTTGTTTCAGAAACAGCCCTGGCAAGAACACATCTCTTAGGCACATTGTGCAGCTAGTTCTGCAGTTCAAACCCGGGTCAGTAATCCCACCACCGCCTGGTTTCTAGCTCATGCAGACGGCTAGTTCACTAAGACCCCTCACCTGCTTCCCTTGGTAGCTACAGACCCTGGTTCAGTGTCTGTCTGCAACATAACACAAGCTATTTCAAAATGAGTTCAGAGTAGGTGCTGTTACGTGCAGTGTGTGTGTGTGTGTGTGTGTGTGTGTGTGTTGTTTGCACACGAGTGTGTGGGTGTGTGCAGGTGACGAGCAGAGCAGGATGTCTTCCTCTATTGACTTCTGCTTTATTGGCTTGAGACAGTCCCTTGCTGAACTGGAAGTTCCCCTTTTCCATTAGGCTGGCTGGCCAGCAAGCTCTAAGGATCTGCCTGTCTCTACTCCCCAAAGCTGAGGCTACAGACACAGGATGCAGCCAGGCTCAGCCTTTTACATGCAGCTGAAATTTGAACTCAGGTCCTTATGCTTGTAGAGCAAGCACCCTTGCTCCCTGAGTCATTCCCAGTCTCCGCGGAATTTTGTTGAACGGCTACATGAGAGAGCGAATCTACGAATGAATGGCCAAGCCTCTTGGGGACTAGCTGGAAGAATTTCCCCGGAATGAGGGCTGGCTTACAGTAGTTGGGAGATTTTGGATGGGAGCTAAGGAAGAGCAGAAGCAGCAGGATTGTCTTGTGTTTCCAACAAACATGATTATGATTAGTGTGTACCGAGTACTCCTTCGATGCGGGCACTGTGCCGAGGTGTGTGGAGGGATGATTGACACCTTGAATGGTATTTGTGGCACTGGCTTTTCTTGAGCTTTCTTGGTGATGGGGCAGGACTAGATGATGACCATCGGCAGAGTGTCTAGGGGGAGGAGGAAGAGGAGACTCTGCTCATGAGAGAAAGGGGGGCTGGAAATAGCTCTGCTGGCAAAGTGCTTCCTGCATAATAACGAGAACTTCAGTTTGGTCCCCAGTACTGCGCGCAGTGGCTTGGAGTTGCAATGGCATCACTTAGAAGTCAAATGGCTTCCTGGAGCTCACTGGCCAGCATGATTTAGCCGCATCAGAGAGTTTCAGGCCAGCAAGAGATGTGGTCTCGAGAAAAACAAGGGGGATACCATCTGAAGAATGACACTTGGGATTGACTTCCGACCTCCACACACGTATATACACATGTGCACATGCACGCCTTCCCACCCACACATGTGTACCATGACACACAGGAACAACAACACCAAGTTAAAAAAAATACTCAAAACAAATGCAAATGAGAGAAATGAGAGTGAATTAGGAGATGCCTACCATCTGCAGAGGGATGTCGGGAACAGGAGATTGACACAATGAATTGCGAGATGCCTACCATCTGAAGTAAGATGTCAGGAACAGAGGATTGATTAAAGAGCCAGCGAGAAGTGATGGATGTCAGAAAGCCTGCAGTTTCCAGCCTGGAGCTCCCAGAGGATGGAGAGCACCATGGCCCGTTGCCTGGGCATGTGGGCTTTGAGCATAGAGCTGGCTCTGCCTTGAGAGTGTGGCCCTGGGCGCTCTTGCAGCAGTGAGGCCGTCTCTACAACGAAGACTGGCCTGCAGAAGCATGGGCCCTGGCTCGCTGAGCCTGAAGATGTCAGGATCCTGCCTACCAACACTGGGTATGGGACAGGAGGAAGGAAACGTGAAAGGGCGTGCGGGGCAGTGGGTAGTGCTTGCTACAAGCATGGGCTATCTCTGTGTGGGGCTAAGAAGAACAGACCTCTTGAGAAAGCAGACCTGTGTGAGCTTTGAAATGTGCAAATGAGTTGGTGGAGGGACAGAAGGGCAAAGCCCATTGTGGGGAAAACCAGGGTGAAACAGAAGAAGGGAAACAATGAAAACTGGAGAGGATTGAGTTCATAGGAAATCGACACGCGGTATTCTGTGCAAACCGTTGCTTCGGCTTTGGCCGTAACAGAACTGCATATGTGGATAATATGTAAATACCATTTATAATTTAAAAAGTCTGGGAGACTCAAATGAGATAATCTTTCTGAGGGCACTCTGACAAGTATGGAGGAAGATATTTGTGGTTGGGATAAAAAGACACTGGGTGTAGAATCTGAAGAAACAGAATCCAAGAGCCAGCCAGCGCAGGGAAAGAGGGACGTCCCTGGTCCTCTCCTTGGCGTCTGGGCCCTGGACCAGGAAAGTGTCAATAACTGTTCTTTTCCAGGAAGTTCTGAGGGCTGTGATACTTAAGCTTGATTGACAACTTTGCTGGATTTAGAATCACCTAGGAGACAGACCCCCGGGTGTGTCTAGGAGGGGGTTTCCACAGAAGTTTAGCTGAGGAAGGAAGGTCCACCCTGACGTGGGTGGCACCATCCCATGGGCTGGGTCTTGGATTTAATAAAAGGGATAAAAGGAGAACACCAGCTGAGTACATCGGCTTCCACCTGCTTCCTGATTGTGGACACACTGTGAATGGAGGCCCTGAGCCCCCGCCCCACCCTCCTGCCAAGATGGACTGTACCCTCAAACTGTGAGTCAGCGTGACCCTCCTTCACTAATAGTTGCTATTGTCGCCACAGTGGGAAAACACCTATGACGGATTGTGTTAGTCTGCTTGGAGAAAGAGCTAAATAAGACCACTGGCCAGGTGACTTAATTATGGATACTTCTCACATGCCAAATTAAATGTCAACTTTTCCTTCGCTTTTTCTGCTTCTGGAAAGCCTTGGCTGTGGCTGTAGCTGTGGCCTCTGCCCTGCCTCTCTGTGCCCTGCGGCTTTGTGTGTATCTTCTTAGCTTTTTGTTGTTGTTGTTGATGATGATGTTGTTTTGTTTTGTTTCCTGAGATACAGTCTCACTATGTAACAGCCCTGGCTGTCCTGGAACTAGCTCTGTAGACCTGGCTGGCCTCACAGAGTTCCGCCTGCCTCTGCCTCCCAAGTACTGGGATTAAAGGCTTAAAGGCATGAGCCACCAGCACCCAGCTCCTCTCACCTTTTTATGAGGACATAAAAAGTCATTGGATTGAGGGACCACACTAAGTGCAAGATGAAGTCATCTTGAGATCCTGAGCTAATCTCACCTACAAAGACCTCACTTCCAAACAAGGTCATATTCTGAGAGTCCAGGTGGACAGGTGCACGTGACCTTTGAGGGGCAGGGCGTTATTCATCGAACTACAGTATTCAAATTATAGTGAAGCAAGATCACCATGTGCCCTCCAAAAACTGTTCTCTCTCACAGTGCTTCTAAACGTCCCTCTAATAGCTGTCATTGTCCAAGGGATAAAGCCATTGTCCAAGGGACACACACTGGCACTGCCGTTCTGGCCTCTTCCCGACCTCTGGTCTTAGCCTTTCCCATCCCCCCTGACTTCCTACACACTGCAACCTTATCTCTAGTTGAAATACTTCTAGAAGGAGGACTCCTATTTCAGGTGCCTCCATAGAAACTGCTTTTCCTTTTGCTAGCCCGTTCACCAGCTCTTCTCATTCCCTTTGATTACACCAGACTGGGCCTCCTGTCTTCTAATTTGACTGTGTGTGTGACTTGGAGCCTTCCCCCTCCACCAGCAGGCACAGGAGACTGGACACAAAGGGACCTGGCACCTGACAATCTTGACTTTCTGCCCTGTGTTTTCAAACTGTGAGCCAATTGATCCTTTCTTGACTTCCCCCACTTTCTCCCATTCTGACTGTCATGACTCTCTTTGAGCCCCCTGGTTCAAACTAAGATCCCAGTATCTGTGACAGCTCTTTCCCCTTCCTGCTCTGCTGGGTCTGTTCTCACTGCCCTCCTTTTCTTTCTCATGGGTACTCAGAGGAACCCCTGATCTGAACTCCAAGAGGACCGGTATCTTCCTGTGGTTCACTGTGCATCACTGAACTGCTTTCTTCATGAAAATCCACATGGCATTTCCTCTGCTTGGCTTGGTACTGGACCCTGAAGATCTAGCTCATTCTCTCTCTCATCTTCCTCTTCCTTTTGCTTTGAGTGTCTCACAACCTCTCTTCAGGTCCCACACACCCCAATTCAGACACCTCAGCAAATCTTCAAAGGATGCTCCTGAAGGAGGGACCGAAATTCCCTGAGCTCAAGTGTGTGTACCCTGAGCTCAAGTGTGTGTACTCAGTCCCCTCTGATGGGGCATCATAGGAGAAGCAGGTCCTAGGTTTGTAGCCAGTGCCAGGAAGGAAAGGCTGTGTGGAGACGGAGCCTGGACTTCAGAATCCCATCCCTAGACACCCCACAGCACTCACAGTGAAGAGAATTAGGTCTGCAGCGTTCACCAAATTCTGACCCTCATTGCCCTTCTCATGCTTCCTGTCAGCCCAGAAAAGCTTTTCCGGGACTACAAAGAAGTGGGAAGTTGTGCCCCATTGTGAACACAGATGGAGTCACATGTCTGGGGACACTGCACAGCACCAATAACCCTTCCATGTCTTGCCTCCTGCTGTACGATAAGGTAGTTTTCCAAAGCGAGCTACACCCCTGCCTCTGAGTCAGCTTCTCCTGCGCTGCAGGCAGCAGGTTCTGTGACCTCCCTTCTGAGTCAGGAGGATGAGAGGAGAAGAGAAAATAACAAGCAGCATCGGTTCCAGAAGCTTCTCTGGCCTGGTGCTCTGACATGGTCACGGGCAAACCAAAGATGCAGCACTTGGCACGAACAGACCCAGGCCAGGCATCCCTGGGGGGCCACTCACCCGCATTGTTCTGCTGCTTGGTGTTTTTGATGTAGGCTGAGAACTTGGAGAAGATGTCAATGCCCGCAGTGTTGGACTCCCGGTGTCTCGCAGCCAGTTTGGGGTACCTGGAAGGGAAGGCACGGTGCTCTATGAAACTGTGAGAAAGGGTCTCTTTAGGGACAAGCCTGTTTGTATCGCAGGGGGCAGCATTCTCTTTCTTGGCTGAGGCTACCATCTTCTGGGATTTTGCTGTCATCCTACAGGAAGGGTGGGCTCTCAGCACTCACTCATAATAAAGGAAATCCGGTGAGGTACTGAGAGTCTCAACCAAAGTGAGTCAGATATCGGGCAATGAATCAGAATGTCGTCCATAGGCCTCGTCCTGGAACCACCACCAATGGTACAGAGTGATACAGGGCTGGCCTCTGTGTCGGATGGGGGTCCCTGCTAGTTCCACTGAATTCATGAAGACAGACACCTACTGTCAGGCCCACCACCACAATCCTGGCTGGCCAGAAGTGTCTCCTGAAGGCTTCTAAAATGACTCCGGCACTGAGTACATGTGTGTGGTAATAAGAACTGAACCCGGCTCTGCTCGAAGGTCCTGTGTTTTTATCACCTGGATTTCTAAGCGTGAAGGGAGATTCACAATGATCCCCCACTCCATTCCTTACACTGTTTCTCATTGTGAAGCTATGAAAAATGCAAGCGATAGGGCCAAGCTTAGGACCTTGGCATTAAGACTGATGAGCAGGTGCATTCACATGTGCGGGAACCCTTGGATCTAACCCAACACCTCTATCATAGGGTGATCCTCACCACAAATAAATAAACAAAACAAAACCATTCTTTTCCCAAAGTCATCGTACGTATGGCCAGGAAGAAGTGGGCAGAGATGGAGGCAGGTTGCTCACTCATCATTAACTATAAACGTGGGTCTTCATGATCTGGAGTGAACGGTTTTACTGTATGCTTCTGGTTGCTTCATGTTTATTAAACCAAATTCGTTTGTTCAGATTATATGTTTTCAACCAAAGGAGTCTTTAAGATCATTTGCTGTGGGGTTGGGGAAGATAATTCAGTCAGTAAAGGCAGTGAGAAAGACTGGAATTTGACATGCCCAGAAGTCACGTCAGAAGGTGAGGATGGTAGCATGTTTGCTACCCTAGCGCTGGAGATGTGGGGTTGGCTGGCCAGCCAGACTAGACTAATTGGTGAATTTTAGGTCAGGGAGAGATCCAGGTTCATAAAAGAGAGGAGGTGACGTTTGAGGAATGACACCCAAGTTGACCTTGATCTCGATATGCACGTGCACACATATGCACAAACCTGCATGCATGTGCATGCACACACATCATTTGCCATCCTTCTTCATTTATTTGTTCTTCAGTGATCTCGTTGACTAAGACTGCCCTGCTTTTGGGGGTCGTGGAGGGCTTAAGGTCTGAGGTACTGCCCTTGGAAAAGTCCTCAGCCTAGGGCCCGGCTCTCAGCTCCCCTGGGAAGAGGAAGCTCCTCAGTAGAGTTGGCGTCAGGTTTTACAGGAGTCCCAGGGATGCAGTGGTCACCCAGGGTGACTTCATAAGGAGCTACCATGCTGGGGTTCATCTTTGAGTTGACCACGCCCCTGAAGTAATCCTAATAAGCGCGCTGGTTTACCATGCTCGACTTGGGTGGGATTATTTCGCCTGTCTATGGTGATGCCCTACTTGGGCTGAATAGACATTCATTCATGGTGCCTTGCAAAATACCACATAGTACTTGAGAATCAGAATTAGAGAAGTGTTTTCTGTCTGTTCTGTTTTAAATTTGCCTGCCAGCAAATGTGGCCACTGACTAAATACCCATGGGCTTTTCCACGTTTCCCAGCCAGTTACACTGTGGTCATGTGACTAGATTCTAGCCAGGAGAATGGGGAGGGATGGGTGATGTAACCCCTTATGACTCTGGCCCTTGAAAGAACTACGTGTGCCCCCCCTTTTGGTTTCCTCTGCCGAAGACTTTGGAGGCCATGGGCATACAGCTACAAGATGGAAGAGGGCCGCACCATCCACTGAGACTGCTTCAATGACAAATGCCCTTGTCCTCTTTTGTCACTGTACCTCACGTTACTGCATGTGGCAGCACAGACCCGAAGCCATGTAAGAGGCTCCAGAGCTCACATTCAAGGCGTGCAGCAGCATCCTGTGGGAGCGTCTGAAGCTGTGTCCACCTCTCGGAGGGAGAGGAGAAGATAACTCTGCTCTACTGCTGAAAGAGATCTGTACACATTTTTAATAAAACATCGCACTTACAATGCCTTGATTTTGATCCTTGGTAATGCTCAGGGCATGCCTGCTACCTGACATGGCACACCATGGGACCAGCTGACTGAAGGGATGGTACGCCACGTAACCAGCTGGTTTTTGATCAGGATCCTGGGTTCTATGCTGTCTTTCTTCGGTTGTTAGCGTGTGCATGTGTGTATTCATGTTTTTAATGTGTGACGTGGGAAGGGTGTGTGCGTGTGGGTGTGTGTGTGCGTGCATATGTGTGTGTGCATATGGGATCACCCTCCACACACCTCATTTCCATTTCTTTCTCACTGGTTGAGGCAGGGGTCTCTCAGTCAAATCAGAGCACCTCAATATGGCTAATCTAGCTAACCAGCTTGCTCCGGGGGATCCCCTGCCTCTGCTTTCCAAGGACAGAATTACAGGCGGCCAGTTGTGCCCACCAGACAGTTCAGTGAGTGTCTAAACGCTCGTCTTCAAGCTGGCAAGGCACACATAGATGCTGAGCCGTCTCACAGCCGCCTTCACCCCCTGTTCTCATCCCCGTTTCTACCCAGTAGGATTATTTTAAAACAGTCAGCTCTAGGAAAGACCTCGGTGAAACTCATGCAGTCACAGATTTAGGGCTGAAGGGGATCTTGGAGAACATAGTGCCAACCCTTCATTTTCAAGATGATCACACCAGGAAGGAAAGAGCCTTGTCTAAAGTCACACAGGGTGTGCCGATTGGTTTCTAGGCAGCCACGCTTCTCAGTTCTGAATCCTAGAAACTCTGGGTTTGGGATGGAGACCACAGGCAAGGGCCAGGTTTGTCTCAATGATAACTCTACATGAGCTCCTAGACTTTTTCCCTGAGCATCAACTGGGTCGGTCCACATAAAGGAAGGATGTTAGCCTCATTTAGAAGCTAGTATTCTTCATCATGACCCCAAATGCTCTGTGGACCCAAGGGTAATCTTTTTAAAGTGCTGGAGTATTTGTGTGTGATCTCCTCTCCTTTGACAAACAAAACGAAGGGAGAAAAGTCTTGGCTCTCTGCCAGTTTTCACAAACAGCAACAGGATAAGAAATTCATGGCTTCGCAGCATCAGGAAACAGAGTCTTGCTGCCCCTGGAGAAACAGAAGGCCAGGCAACACTATGCCACAGGCCTCTGGATGCAAGCCACCCCACCTTCCTGCCCAAGATGGTGGGGAAGTTGGGTTTGTTTGTGGCTTGAGAGTAGACTGGCAGGATTCTGAGCTTGGAGCTGAGGCATTGGCTTGGTGATATTTACTGGCCAGTAACTGCAGCACCTGCCCCAACCTGATGGTGCAGAAGCATAGAAGCATAGATGGACACTCTCTGTGAACAGCATCCTGATGGTAGTGACTGATGGTCTTGTCGCTGAGCTCCTTACTTAAGGAGGCCTCTGAAGATGTTCATTTAATGACCTCAAGGACCTACGACCTAGAGAGGTCACTAGCATGGCCGGAATGTCCTTCCTCGCACCTCCTCTACTTAACTGAAGTTCAGAAAAGACCTGAGTGGGAGGCAGCAGGCTCAGCACCCATAGCATGAGTGAGCAGCCAGGAGAAGCCAGAATGGACCCTGCCCAACACTACTAGGTCCTGATAGGACAGTGGAACCTTTACAACCTGATTTACAAGAAGACAATGAGTTTGATAATGGCCTTCAGGAAGAATGTTCAAAATATGTGAACTATATACCCTGAGAGTCCTTGTGCCCTTTGACTGAGGTGATGAGAGCCAGGGGTCTTGACTAACCTGACTGTGAAGAACCAGGACAGCAAACTGTCTGGGGTCAGGAATGTTCTTTCACAGAGGAGGCCTGAAGCCAAAAGCAGACATGGGATGATGGGTAAAGATGACACCTATGTCCCCTGATAGGGCGAGCAGCCTATCCCACCTACCAGCTTGGCACAAGAACATATGGACATGTCTTCCTGTGCTTTCCTATCCTCCTTGCCAGACTGGGCGAAAGTAGATGTTCCTGCCTAGGAGGATGGTTCCAAGGAGACAATATTAACCTCCCTGGGCGAGGCCTGGACTCCACTCGGGTGCTGAAAACAGTTATTCGTGTGGGATTCGCAAGTAGTACAAGCAGCAAAGGAGGCTGAGTCCCAGGGGAGCAAGAAAGAGCAGTCGGCCCTTTCGGGACACATCCATCCCAGCAGCTGCCTGGTGTTCTGTCCAGAGACATCTGTGGCTTCTGGCTGTGGCCTGCTGGGCTTTGTGTGTGGCTGCACTGACGATTGAACTAATGTCCTTATTGAAAGTCTGTACCCAGCCACCTCCAATGGGCTGCAGGCGCATTCCCCCTCATGTGAAAACAAGCTGTCCTAACATGGTGACAAAAGTTGTCCTTAGGGGAAACCGTGTCCTTGCTTAGGACTTCATCAGAGCACGGCAGAGATAACTAATTTTCCAACAGTAAGGGCTTCATTGGTAGCCTTGGGCTATCCTGCCGTGCCCAACTATGAGAATGAGGGTAAGGACTGTTCCTTCTCCAGGGTCCCAGGGCTGCTGAGAGGGTGATGGGACGGGAGAGTTCAGTGCCTGACACAACATGGGAGCTACATATGTTGGTAGGTAAACACAGCTTCAGTAAACACAAGAGGGTGATTGATTGTCGGACTCCACTTCCCTTACCAGTCTCCTTCCTCCTCTTCCTCAGCTGAGCCCTTCCTTCCGTCTTACCTGGGCTGCCACCTGTCACCTCCCCCCTACCTGATTCTGAACCTCCGCCCATTTGTTATTGATGCTGTGTTTTAGACAAGATCTCAGCTACCCCAGCCAGTCTTGAACATCCTGCACTCCAAAAAATGACTTCAAATCTCCCTGACTCTACCTCCCGAGTGCTGAGGATACAGGCATGTACCCACACGCTTGGTTCACGTGTAGCTAGAGGGTTGAATGAACTCGGGGCTTTGCACATGCCCGATAAGCACCCCACCAACAGCGCTACATCCTCGACCCTTTGCACCACTTCCTTTCCCGGCCCCCAGGGTGAGACTTCCAGTCAAATCTCCAAGGTGTTTGCTCAAGATCTTCCCTTGGCTCCCCTAAGTTCATGCTGCGTTCTGTAGACAGTGCCAGTGTTCTGGCTTAACAATGAGGTATGATTGCTTTAATCTCTGATTACAGGATTCTACAGCGATCAGTGAGCCTAGGCGCTGTCATCTTTTAAACTATGCCTTTTCTCTCCCCTCGGATAGGTAGCAGCTAATCTGCCTGCCCCCACTGCCCGCCTCCCCACCCAGCGAGGACATCCGCTCCTGCACCTGACAGGTCCTGTCAGTATTTGTTTGCTTATCTGTGACTTGGTCAGACTTACGACTCCTGGTGCCGTTTCGGGCACCAGCTGTCCCTTTCCTGGTTTGTCGTCATCTCATCATCTCGCCTCTAAAGAGGAGGGAGTCTGCCCCATCCCGAGTCTTTATGAGTACAGTGAACAGAGTTGGGGGAACAAGCCCAATGGGTAAGGAGAGCTAACCATCTCCGCAGAGTCCCTAAAGTCACTTCGTGTAGGAACTGACTGGCAATACCTTCTAGCCAACTGGCCTTAGTGGACCCACTTTAAGACTGGCATTCCACACTGTTGAAAAGCAGAGACCCTGCTCCAAAGTGAAGCAGCCTCTTTGGGAGCCTGCCCCCCCCCCACAGCTAACCCTCCCCCACTTGCATAGCTCTGCAAAGACTGAGTTTATTACTTCTCAGGGGTCAAGGTCTCCTCCAGGAACTCTTCTATCTTGTTGACATCAGTCTTCACGTCCCCATTGAAGGTCAGGAAAGGCGGATGCGCGCCAGGAGCGAGGTTGTGCAGGTCCGCTGGCTTTCTGTCGAGAGAGTGAGATTCAGGTGATGGCAGGAGTCCTGGTCTGAGAACCCTTTAACTTTATAATCCCCATCTGGTGCAAATTAGCATGCCCGTAGCCTAACCAGATTTGTGGTACTCGGGGTAAGACAGTAGAAGCTGGCTAGAGCCCTGCAGGCCTATGATGTGACAGAGAAAACTCAGGGGGAAGGAAATGGCAGAGGGACCTCACAAGATGAAGCCGAACACAACTGAAACAAATCTGGAGGGAATCACGGTGGCTGCCTAAATTAACTCACAGCTTTACTGTGCAGGGCAGTGCTTGCAAATGCTGCTTGCTTCACTAATTAGTCTAATGAAACCCACAATTCCTGGCTTGACAAATTAACATGCTGGGGCTGGAGAGATGTGGTTAAGGCCACATCTGGCTATCCAGAGGGCCTGAGGTCTATTCTCAGCTCTCACAGTTAGGAAGATTACAACCGCTGGTAATTCCAGCTCCAAGAGATCTTGTATCCTCTTCTGGCCTCCACAAAGAAAAAAAATTTGGCACATTGGATCCTACTTTGCCCCTAAGAAATATCTTTGAATACAAAAACTATATATGTTGGGGAGCTGGATTTGGGTCATCGACTCAAATTCATATGCTCCCATTATGAGTAGCATAATTTTAATATATAGCAATTAACATCTGGCATTGGTCAGTATATTTCTAGACACCACAGAATACTTTTTCTATCTCCAAATAGCCCCTGGTGTGGGAAATCCATAAGAAAGATAAACATTAGTTGAAAAACAAGACTATGAAATAGAGTCTGTGTATTCAAAGAACTTTGTCTTACTCGTTCTCACCATTGGGCTCTAGTGGACACCCATGCGGTTCGGTCCGATAGACCTACACTCCGTTTTACAGATCAGGAAACGCTGGGCAGACTGTGGCCAAGAACTCTACAGACAAAATTACGAGCTGGGGCTTGACGGTCTGTCTACTCCTGGTGTTCCAGCACATGAAAGACTGGGGCAGGAGGATTGCTACAACTGTGAAGCCATGCATAATAAAGTCTCAAAACTTTATCAATAAAACAGACAAAGAGACCCCACTGTTACTGAGCAAGAATATAACTAAGAATCTAAGAAAAGTCTTTCTGCTCAGGATCAGTGCTAGAAAAATCTTAGAACCATGCCTGGCTTGCAGAAGTTTTCAGCAGGTAGGTATGTATTTCAAATAACTACATAAACAAAATATACATCTTAATTTAAAAAGGGAGGATTTGAGGCTGAGGAGATGGCTCTGAAGTTGAGAGCACTGGCTACTCTTTCAGAGGACATGGATTCAGTTCCCAATACCCACATGCCAGCTAATAGCTCACAACTGCCTATAATTCCAGTTCCAGAGGAACTGATGCCCTCTTCTGGCCTCTTCAGGTACTGCACACACAAGGTGAGCAGACACAAATGGAGGTAAAACACCCATATATAAATTAAAATTTTAAATTAAAAGAAATTACTTTAACTGTGAAATTAGAGATCAAAAGTTGGCCTGATATTGATAAAAGCTCCAACCCAATTACAAAAGTTTTGAGCTTTCCACTTAATGTGGGGGATTAGTAGGCAGCTAGCCTACTAGTAACCTGTTAATAATCCACCATAGTTCATCTTTATTGTTTTCAATCTTAATTTGAGCAAAACTGTTTTTAAAATGTGACTATTATGATTTTAATCTTACTGGAAAGCAGTTGTTTTGTTAAGTACTTTTTAAAATCCTGTTCAATATATGTAAATTTAAAATCAGAAATGGAATCTTTTAAAACAAACTCTTGGGAGCATTTAGGGGATACCTCAGAATGTAAGTGATCAATTTCCAAGGAATAACAGCTTCATTCTCCTAACAGGACTTGAGTAAATGCAGCATGTGTTTAGGAAAGCTGGTTCCTCCTGTCATTGGTTGTGGAACCAGGAAGACCTTGTAAAGGATGGGTACTTAGCTGATACAGTCCCTCATAAGAGAGAACCCAGACCCATCACCCCAGCTAGATGGGCGAGCTAAGGCTGGAAGATCTCAAGCTCAAGGTCAGCCTGGGCAAAAGTTTCGTCTGTACACCTGAACAAGATGCTATAGCAAAGCAGAAAACACAAAGAGGGAGCTGGGGTGCAATGGAACACTTGCTAGTGTGTGTGAAGCCCTGGGCTCAGCCCCCTGATTCCAAACACAAGGAAGAAAGAAGCCCTTGGGGTATGCTACTCACATCCATAGTAATCAGGTGTTAGTGAACCCCACCACCTCCACCACACACGGTGGGGATAAGGAGACACTGAAGTTCCCCCACGATCCAGAGAGGCAGGCAGAAATATTGGCGAAGAACAGGGATGTGTGGAGCACACATCCATGAATAAACAAGGAACCATCTGAACTTTCTGGACTCTGCCCTCTGTAGTGCCTGGTGTGGTCCCTGTTTGTGCTGGACAGCGTACTGACCGCCACTGAGGAGGTACTTCTGGCGACAGCAACAAGAAGGACTTGACTCTGTGACTGCCAGTGATGTGGTGTGCTCTCCCATGCTCCTGCCAGGGTCAAAGGTGAGAGTGGGGATGGTTGAGGGAAGGGAAGTGGCCTTGGCAACAGAAAGTATGGAATCCGAGGGCTGCACTGGGGAAGGAGAGAGGGGCTGACTGCTGAAGTCTCTGGGCATGGGGAGCATTCATGGCCCTGTCTGTTCTCTGAGTTTGCAACATTCCTGTGGACGCTGGAGCAGAAACTATGAGGTGGAGGCACTGTAAGAAGTCAACAAGAGGGGCAGAGGCATCTGTAATGAGACAAATTCCTGGCCTAATCAGTTAGGGAGGGGACAAGAGGAATTTCAATGACACGCTGCTCCCTGTCACTCCCAACAGGCTGCTCTCCAGCCTCATTCTGTGACACTTGGAACTCAGACAATTGAGACTGCAAGTATTTTTAAAATCTAATTTACTCAGTGCCTCTGTTGACTCTGTGTGTCCCTCCCCTGACATAAAGAGAGGGCATTCTTGGCCGGTTCCTCCTGTTTAGCAACTGACGCTGGCAAGGAAGGAAGTTCTCACTCATTTTGCTTCTGAGCGGTCACTGTGGCTTAAAGATACAGCGATCTGTTGATCGAGTGGCTGTGTGGTTTTGTTTCTGGGTTACTGGATACACGCTGATCGCTGGATTCTGACAAGTTGGGGACATGCCACTCTGGCTTCTGAAACTTAGCTGGGCATTGCTGAGAGATTTCTGGCCAGTCACCGCCTCCTCTCTGCGTAGACCTCCTATTAACACTGGGAGTTGACTTTACAGAATCACACATTGCCTCTGATTTGTGAGTCATTCCATGTGCCTCAATTTTTTCTTTTGCTCCTTGGATTGACAATAACACGGGTTAGAGGAACATTGCTAAGAGATAACATTGCTACCAGGTTTCAAGTTCAGTTAGTAGGGCAAGTATAATCCCAAACATGAATACAGGAGCCACCTCCTTAAACCCTCAACAGCACTCCTATGGATTAAGAAGGCATTGCTTTTTCATCATCATCGGGAAGATGAAGAAATGGAGGCTCAGGAAAGTTCAAGGTCACTTAGCCAGTCAATGGTGGTACCAGAGTAAGAGCTGAATTAGAATATACGTGTAGATAGTGCTGTAAACTAAGGTGATGCTACTCACCAGGCCCGCCTCAGAGAGATCTGACCAGATCTGATCATGTGAGAGACAGAGAGACAGAAGCATCCATAAGATGCTGCAGAGACTCCTACCCCAGCCTGAGCTCTAGCTGGGAACAGCTGTGAGCTCTACAGGTGAGAATCCAAGCAAGCTCCTCCCCCAGACTCTCCAGCCTTCTCTCTTTGTCACGGACATTAGCTGCATGGCAGACACATGTTCCCTTAGTGCACTGAAACCAACCCCAGGCACTAGATCTTAGTAGCATCCCCTCCTATTTCTGGCTGGGACGTGGGGCGGGTCATCTCTGCGGCTTTCTCTCTCAGCTTCTTTGTATAGTATGGAGGCTGGGGCTTTCCCTTGTGAATGCCACAGTGCAGGATTTTACACGGGAAAGCCCTGAGTGGTTATAAAGCACTGGGACAGTGGAAGTCATACCTGGATGAGATGCTAAATGACAATTACGCCTAAGCCCAGGTGACAGGAGTGAGGTGAGTTTAAAGGGGAGGCCACTCTGGAGAGTGATGGGGTACAGAGGCCCTACCGAGGAATTGGGGCTGAAGTTGAGCCTGGAGGCAGGGTATCCTGTGCTTCTGAAGAGACGAGGAGGAGGAGCCCGTCGACGTGGAAGTAGCTACCTAGTCAAGAGCTACTGGGATCAAGAGCAGCCTTGGAGGTAGACCAGTCTACAGGCAGATAGGACGCAGTGAGAGCATTGGGAAAACTGTACAAAGCACTGACTGCTTTTGATGCTTCCCCACTACGGGCAAAGGGATGGAGTAAAGGCTTTCTGGGCACTGTTAGCCCCAGGGGAGTAAGACACCTGTTGTGCTGCAAGACTTCTGGTCAGATGAGCAGGACTGTAACTCTGTGGAAGAACACTTGTATAGTATGCATGAGGGTCCAAGGTTGGGCCTCAGCACAATAAATAAATATGAATAAGGTTATATTTGAGAGCTCAACTGAAAGGACATAATTAAGCCGTTTCTTTCCTTTTAGGACCTCCCCATGAAATCCTCCACTCCACAACCCTCATGTTATGGATTCTGAGAGTGAAGAGAAGGAAGGCTTAGAAGTAGTCTGGATTCCAGTGCCCCGAAGACTCAGTGGTCCCACAGATGCAATGTCTGTGCTATTGCAATAAATATGTTTTTAGATGCCTGTGTCCATGTTTGAGATGGACACTCATCAAGTGGCCATTTGCTTGCTTTTTTAACCCTTGATAATCAATTCTAACCAAACAGGGTAGTGAATGGAGCACAGCCCCAGAGGAGGCCCTGGCTTTTTCACCCTCTTTTGTGCCCTCGACTGGTCTCTGGGAACAGTTCTGGGCAATGAGACGGAATCCATCAGAGATTGCCTGGAGCCACAGGCTGGCTTTCTCTCATCCCGTCTGAACCTTCCTTGTGCTAGGTATTTGTTGTGAACATAGGTTTCCTTTACCTTTTCAGATCCACAGTGGTGACGTTAAACACGACGCCTTTCAGCCAGAGGATCATGAAGAGGCGCTGAGAGAAAGGACAGTTGCCAATGCTCTCGCCATCAATTCCAGCCTGAAAAGGAAAGGGGCAGATGCCTGAGGTCCGGGGCACAAACAAACACAGAAGAACATGGATGGTAATGAACAGTCGCTGGGCTTCTAGCCACATCCCAGTGGACTTCAGAGACCCAGTGGATCCATCCCTGTTTCCCTAGCATCTGTGCAAAGCAATGCCTTCTACCTTGCATGGTCCTCATAAATGCTGAACTGGAGTTTCCAACCTGAGATGCTCTAGAATCATAGCCTTCTAAAACTGCCGAACCTTGACATCAGGTTAACATTCTACGTATCCATATAATCAGCTGGTCTGTGCTTGGGAATTCCCCTTTGACAACTTTGGTTGGGAATCATTACTACATTTCTTTTTTAACCATACCGAGAGTTACCATCACTATCTAGGTCATGCTTTCCCCCTTGCTGGAAAAAGACCCATCCCTAGGACCCAAGATAGCCTGGGCTGCCACCACCAGAAGGGGGCACCCAATACAAAACTAGAAATCATCACAGAACATTCAGAGAGATGGTGACCCACTTCATCCCAGTGGGTGCAAATGCGTTTATCACATCAAGTCCCTGAGAAGTCCTCCAAAGCACTCAGCAGTCCAGGTCTCCTCCCCAGGGACAGCTATGATGCAGGAGACAAAGAGTGTGTTAAAACTTGCTTTGGAATTCACATCCCCATACCTCCATCTGTTTTCCTCTTGTGCTAATGGGAGGATAAGAAACTGAAGGAGGGAGAAAGAAAACACTGGACTTTGCCCATGTTGTGTGGTGCTGGCTGAAATCTCAATAGGATGGTAGAGAGTTCAAGGCCAGCCTGGGCTTCCTAGGGAGTTCATGGCCAGCCCTCTACATACTAAGACCTTATCCAAGCAAATTTATTTGTTTATTTTTCAATTAGTTGTGTGCCTATTTGTTTGTGTATGTATGTATGTATGTCACAGTGCCTGTGTGGAGGTCAGAAGGCAACTCACAACGAGCAGGTTCTCCTCTCCTTCCACCATGTGGATCCTGGGGATTGAACTTGGGTTGTCAGACTTGGTAGTAGGCAGTGTGACCAGCTGAGCTATCTTACCATCTCCCCACCTACCAAATTTTATAGAAAGGAATTCTTGACTGGCAAAAAATAAGATCCCATACAATAATTGTTATGTTAGTAACAATAACAATGGTCTGTTTTATTAGGCGTGGGGTCTAAGAGATTTATATCTATTATCAACCAATTAATTTGCTCTCCATGAGAAGTCTGTGAAACGGCACCTTACCATCCCTTACAGATTGGAAGCTGAAGGACAGAGAAACCATATACCTGGCCAAGGTTCCCACCCTGGTAGGGCCAGGACAGAGCCCAGTGGTCTGCCTCTAGATTTGGTGCTCTAATACTTTTCCAGGAGCCAGCCCTTAGGCTCAGCCAGGTTATCTCCTCCCAGAGTCTGGGGATCTGTGCAGTGAAATGATGCCCTTGAGGTAGGCATGGTCACGCCCCTACAGTCCTCCTGTGTTAGCCATGCCAGAATGCAGGGAGTGCTATGTTTTTAGGATCATGTGGCTTCAACATGTGTATGTCTTAAATCCGGATCTAATGAACAAAGGTTGCTGCTATGGTTTAGATGACCAATATCCCCCATAGACTCATGTGTTGAGCACTTGATTCTCATCTGATGGCACTGTTTGGGAAGGTTGTGGAACCCTTGGGAGATAGAGTTTGCTGGGTCACTGGAGAGGAAGACTTCAGGTTTTAGAGACCAGCCCCACCTCCTGTCTGCTTCCTGTCTACCAAGATGTAAGAAGATGAGGAATCACACTCCAGTCACCCGACTCCCACTGTGATGGACAGTGTGCCCTCAAACTGTGAGCCAAATAAACCCTTCCTTCTTTAAGCTATTTCATCAGATTTTTGTCATGGCAACAAGAAAAGCAACTGCAACAGCTGCCAAGAGCCCATGAAAATGGTCCAAATTTTGGTGTTTTGCTCTCACAACCCTGGCAGCCCACGGGCCATTTTCTCTTTGCTCATCAGCACTGTGGTCCTGATAAGCCATTTAAGAAATGGGTTAAAGGTGGCAAGCTTATGGTGATGATGACTCAAAACAGATATGGTTCTGAACCTTTAAGGGTGGTGTCTTTGCTCCAAAGGGTTCTGCTGGAAAAGGGTACAAACATGGTAGGCTAGGCTGAGTACTGTTGCCCCTAATAATCTTTACCTAGAATCTAAGAATGGGCCTTATTGGGAAATAGACATTGCAGAATCAATCGAGTTTAGCTTCAAATCCTCTTCCTCCCTCTGCTCATCTTCCTCCTTCTGTTCCTCCTCTTTGTCCTTTCTCTTCTTCCTCTTCCTCCTCCTCTTTCTCTTCTTCCTTTTTTTCCTTCTCTTCCTCCTCTTCAGCTTCTTCTTCCTCTCCTCCTCCTCTTTCTTCTTCCTATTTCTCCTTCTCTTTCTCTTTAAGTTCAAACTTGGAACAAAAAATATGTGACTAAGTGATAATATACATGAGATTCACGTTATGGTTAGAGTTGCTGTCATTACAAGCATAGGCCATGAACACTCCGAAGAGCTACTGAGATGTCTGTTTATAGAAGTCTAGGCCTTAGTCAAGAGTCAACAAGTCTCTGTATAGTGGCACAAAAGCTTGACAATGCTCTATGCTCAGGGGGTTGTGGGTGGAGCAATCTCTCAATCCAAAGGGCAAACATAGAAGGAACCATAGCGAGTGTTCACTTGTCAGAGAAAAATATTCCCCGGTTAGGCCACTCTCACATTTCCTCAGAGGGAGGCTGTGGGAAGGGGCTTATGCTGTGGTGGCTGATGGTGCATGAACAAGCAGGTACATGTCTGCTCTCTGGGAAGCTGTTACGCTGCTGTCCAGAGGATCATGCTGCAAGTAAACACGTTTAAAAGGAGTTCAGATGCCAAAGATGGGAAAGGACTGAGACCCAGGAAGATAGATGGGTGAAGCTGAGGAGTCAAGCAGGGAGCGATTCTTGCATTTTATCAGTGAAGCCCAGTGGAAGTCTGTGTTTTCTCAACATCCAGGAATTGCTGTCACAAACATTTAAGGCCCCTCCACGCTGTTCACGAGACCTGATTATAGCTCTCAGTGCTTGGATCAGGAATGCTCAAACTGGAATTCCTCCACCTCAGAAACCTTCCAAAGCACAGGAAACAAAAGAGTGCTAAAAACCTATGTCCCCAAGCAGACAGAACTCCTTTCAATGTGGGCTTAATTTGAAAACTTCTTACTTGAACTTCCCGAGGTCATCCAGTTCCTAATGGAGGAAGCTTGCTTTCCTTGTCATGAGGGCATGCTCAGAAGTTTCTCTTTGCTCTCTTGACATACATTTTGTTTGTTATTGCAAAATGGTATCAATATTAGTTCTGAAACTGGTCATGAAGCCATTTCTCCTATACCCATGGATTCAATCTCTAACCCCAGGATTTATATACCAAACAAAGATACCTTGACATGGAACCATGTCTTCTGCTAAGTTTGGCCTTTGAGATCCTAGGATAGCTGAGATTCTTCAGTTATTGCCATCCTCCTGTCTGCTCTCCTTGGACCTAATGTTGTTTTGAATATTGAATCTTAATAGTCTGGACAGATGTTAGAGAAACCACAGAATCTGTCATCTTCCTCCTAAATTGAGTTTAGTTAAATGATTCCCAACCCGAAATTCACAATCATGACATAGTAGAAATTTATGGCACTGAGATCAAGTCAGAGTCATGAGATTTATTAAAAGTCCCTATGTCTGGGACTTTCTGGAAAAAAATCTGTGCAAAATCAGTATTTAAGAATATGTCAATAAAGCATGCTTGCAAGCCTTCAAATTCACATCCTACTGCTTATGAAAATGCCACGTCTAAGCTCCTCTCATGGATATGAGATTTAATTTGCCTGTCTTAGACATCATCAATTCTTACTCTCAGAGTTCCAGGGATTGCCAGGGACTGTCAACTTCTGCTCACTGGGGGATGTTCAACAAAACTAAGCAAGGAGATTATTGAAAAACAAATGAACAAAGAAATAAAAGAACTTACTGGGGGCAGGATCAGAGTCCTGGGTCTGCAGCATGGGTGACAGGTGGGACCAGACATTGCACAGCTCTCTAACGACAAGCACAGTCACAGGCCGATGTACCCAGTGACATTTCCTTTAGTAAGGGCTTAAATTTGACTTCCTGTAAGATAGAAGATCCCCACAAAATCCTGTTGTTGGCTCTGCTGCCTAGCCAGAGGACTAAGAGTCTTCAGCCATGTTCACCAAACTGGGCCCTTGATTAGAGCCCTTGATTAGTGTGTCTCTGCCCAGGGCCAGTTTGGGAGCAAAGCCTGGGAGTGCAGTGATTGACAAGCCATGCGCCTTTCTCGAGGAAATGGAGCACAGTGCAGTGGCCACAGTTTGCTGATGACGAACTAGACTGGAGTGGGAATGTGGAAGAGCCCACCAGGGAGGTTTGAGGGTAACCCTGTACTTGTGCCTGGTGGCTAGGAATCTGGGTCTAGTCACAGGTCTCTGTGACACTCCAGGATGACCACACCAAGTGGCAATATTTCCACAGAGGTACAATCATAAAAAACTCAAGCACTTGGCATTGCATATGGCCCCACTGGCTTGAGTTTCCCTAGCGATTGTGCAACTGTGTTCTCTGCTTCCATAATGACTTAAAATAGTGTGGTCTTCCACAGCCTGAGCAGGCATGGGTGGTAAATCATATGACGTGGGTGCTGGGAACCCTGTGCTAGTCTCTGCAAAAGCAGCTCCTGCCTGCTGAGTCACCTCTCCAATCCACTCCTTCGCTTTGCAGTCTAAACCAACTGAACAAGACAGTTCACATGACTTTTCATTTTTAAAAAATGTTTTTGTTTTAGTTTTTTTATATCCAAACCTCAGTTTCCCCTCTCTTCATTCCTCCTAGCTTCTCCCTATCTCTCCAGATACACCCACCCTCTGTTTCCTCTTAAGAAAAGAGCAGGTCTCCAAGAGACGACAGACAGCCAGACAAAACAAG